TTCGTCTTTTGTTTTCCCGCTTCGTTTTCCAAGGAATTGCACCAGTTAGGCTACTATGCTCTGCTTGTTCACCTACAACTGGACCTTTACAATGCGAAGTGCAGCAAAGGAACTTCTTAAAAAACCCTACCAGTATACAGTATACAGCAAAGGAACTTCCTACAGTAGGGGGCATTTGGGCCAGGGTCTACAAACGCAACTTCTTCGTGGATGTTGGTTTCGTTTGGGGCGTCATTTGGGGCGTCGTGGAATGAGACACATTTCGAAAAGCAATTTTATGGTCCGAGGGCTTCCCAGCTTCAACTTCGGACAGTTACTACCCCTTCATCTTCACTGAGCCCAGTACTTTTCAATTAAAGGATGCACATGCAAACATCCCACCAAAAGGCATCGTTTTTGTATTATTTCCGGCTTCGTTTTCCAAGGAATGTGCAAGATCTCACCCCAAATGATCCATTTTAATAGTATTATATATAATGCAAAAACTGAATGCTAGGTTTTTTGGGGTGGCTCTGTGGCTCTCTTAATCTTTGAATTCAACTTCCTTGGACACAATGTCGCCCTTCCTTCAAACATCTCTTGTTGACATGAAACTCGAAATGGCCTCTGCAGTTTCAGTTTGGTATTCTGCGGCCCCCCGCCATCGTTGGGCCAGGTGATACTTTGCACCCGTCGTCACTTCCCAAAATGTAATTGTGCCGTAGCCCTGGTCAGTAAACGTGCGTTCACGACAAACTCAACTGATTATGCAATTCACTCTTGAACCTTGCACTGGCGCAATTAGGTATGCAAAAACATTCTGTTTGGAGTGGTAGTGGGGGCACTCCCTTCATCCTGCGATATCCTGCGCTTGTGGATTGCTGCGATGGAAAATGTGCTAAGAAAAATCGTTGGCACCTCGCGTGTCAGGACCCAGGCATGCTCCGCGCCACTTTCCACACGACCTGCCAAAAAAAAACATTTTTAACATAGAAAAACATGCCGACATATTTAGTTCCGCAGCTGTGAGATCAACGAAACAATGTTTGTGATGACATCATGCGCGTTGAAAATCGTTGAAAATCAGTGATGTGGTTTGATCCTTTTTCTTCTCGGTCGTCTTCGCACAGCTCTGGCAGGGCGGCATTGAAACTCCGCCCAAATCTTCCAAGGTGTATTGGAAGGGGGCGCACAAAGGGCAGAACAAGGTGGATGTTCTTTTGCAGAATGCATGCTGGCTATTGAGGAGGGCATGTGGCGACGATCAGAAGCTCGCACATGGTTCTCAAAGTTCTTTCTGTCCCTTCAATTCCTCGAGCTTCGCAAAGAACCAACGCCAGCTCCGTGCCCAACTGCAAGATGCTGAAGCCCGTGCATGAGCATACTCGTTTCGAGACATAGTCTTTGGGTCGAAGTCGTCGAAACACCTCGGTTGGAGATAAAGCCCCTGCACCGCATAATCCACACGGTTTCCTTTCGCAGGGAGTCGTGGGGTGCAAGATGGTTAAAATCTTGAAAATTTTACGAAAATATTCATGTCAAGGTTCATATCCACCCGGGGCTTTGTGTCATCCACCGGGGGCAGAGTGTAGATTTCCAGCAAAGCAGCACATACCTTGAAGCACTTATTTCTTGGTTCGAAAACATGTGGCAATGCTTTCTCAAATCCTGGCATAGCTTACCTGTCTAGATAGCATGGAACGCTTCAAAGTTCCCAACACGAACGGAAAAATTAAACTCGCATAGTTGAGTGATCTCAGTATCGCAGTGCCGAAAGCTTGAACTCTAGCAAAAGACACCTTTCACCTGACCCTTGAGGTCAATCAGCTTTTACAAAGCAGTCCGAAAACTGACTGAAATGGCTGCAGCGAAAGCCATTCCAAGCGCCAAGCGTCCTTCTTTGGCTTTGGTTTCTTTCGTCCGAACTTCAGTGGTTGGCAGCTTCAGGATCGGTTGCCATATCGGCACCGGGATCCATGGGTTTTCTCTGACATCTTGATCTTCTTCTGCCCGGTGCGCCAATCCTGGTTCCATGTGGCAAGTACCTTATGGGGACAGCACTTGATCGCAATCAAACGGGACCACAGACCGGTGACATTGTCGGTCCGCAGCTGTTTTGGGCAGCCCACGCACACCTTGAACTTCTTGCCCTGCTGTCTTGATGTCGCATTTGGCCACCCACTTGTCATAGCTGATGATATGCGGTTGAGCCACGGAACGTCGCCTTCATGCTCTGTAGCTTCAGGCTCCTCGTCTTCAGCGGGATCTCATCTCCATCACCTAGGTGCTCAACTTCAGCTGGACCTATCTGATTCCTCTTCCTTTCTTTGTCTCTGCCTGCTTGAGATCAGGCGTTGCTCCTTCACCTTCAGTGGATGCTCATCTCACCACTGTTTACTCCTCACGATTGTAGCCCGCACTTGTCAACGCCTTGACAATCACATCGCGAGCTACATGGAACTCCCATGTCTCCACTTGCATCTTCAATTCGGAGATCGCAGTGTCTGGCATCTGGCTCATGGTCTCATCTTCGTCTTCTTCTTCTTCTTCTTCTTCTTCTTGGCCTTGTGGGCACAGCGCTCGGCTCGATGCTGATGTGCTGGAGCCACGCTCCTTGGCTTGCGCTATACCACTCGAACTTGTGCTCGTCATTTTCACCATCCCAATGACAAAAGGTTGCCTGCTCCTTTGGGCGCATGCCAGCTCGCAATAGTCACGTCTCTTCTGCGCCTCATACGTCTTCCAACCTGGAGCGCGTCCTCTTCTCTTTCTTCCATGGGCCCAGTATGTCAGCAGCGAAACGTCCTGACTCACCAGCGCTGAAGCAGCACGGCTTGTGGTCTGAAGGCTGGGGGGTTCAACTTGGCCGCTTTCTCCTTCTCCCCGAGGGGTCGGCATTCTTGTTGCCTCTCTCCGTGTCTTGAACTTGCAGCAGGAACCCAGGCCCCTGTCTGCCCACTGAACTTGTCAGGCGTTGGAGTGCCTTTGAGCCCCAAGCGGTCTCGGACTTCGACGCTCATTGCAACGATCTTGGTGTTCGCCGTCGCTGTGTATAGACTTCTGCCATTGTTTGCCGTAGTTACTGTAGTGGGTTGTGTCCCGCAGCCAACGCTTGCATCAGTTGTGCAACTTCCCCTGCTGGGACGTGCGCCTTGTGCCTCCTGTTGTGCCATTGCCCTGACTGATGCAGTTCGGCTTCTAAGCAAGTGATGTGTGTTGCACCTCCGGCGCCTGAACTGAAGCAGTTTGGTTTACCTTCGGCCCGTGGACGGTAGCTGGGCTCTTACAACCACAGCTCCGCTCCGCTACCATGAACGAAAAAATTAGGCTCACAAAGTTGAGTGAGGTTGTAAAAAGGCAATGGACTTTGAGGATGTCTTGTGTGGGGTTATCGTTTTCTATTCCTTCTCGCTGCGGCTTAGGAGTTAAAACCTTATTGTTTTGGCGTTGCGAACTTCCACAGAACACCCGCAACTGCATCATCATGTCGTCGCCGTCATGAAGGTGTATATAGGATACAAGTGCCAGAACTCAGGCGTCAAGAACTTGTCGCGCTCTTAGTCTTGGAAATTGTCTGTAAAGGCTGCGGGCGCGCGTGCTGGATGCGGGAAACTGCAATGACATGTCGGCTTGGTGGGCGTCATCCTCCAAACAAAGACGGTGCCCAAATGTTGTGGAATTCAGTTTTGGGGCTTGGGCGGATGCACTTGTCCCGTGACTGTGTGAAGCACCCGCCCGTCCCACCAAAAAAGAACTCAAAAAGCTAGTCAGACGGGCTGTGACGCCAAACTCCCGCAGCATGGAAGCATCGCAGCGAAGCTTGACCGTCTGAATTACATTTGTAAGCCAGAAAGAGTGCCAGAAAGGAAGAGTTGAGTCTGACATCAAGTAGGTCTTGAGTGCCCCTGCAATACACTCGTCTTAGGTTCCTGCAAAGTCTCCGGGTGTTGTTGTCATTGAAAAAAGAAAGTCCAAACAACTGTGCAGTGTGGGGGCCTTATCGGTTTAGTTTTTAGCCCGTATCGTTTTACCTGGGGCCCGCTACCCTTTGCAAAAGAGGGCAACCCAACGACCACTTCCTGAGTAGAGGGTATCGTACTCCCTCGAGTGATCTCAGTATCGCAGTGCCCAAACGTTGAACTTTAGCAAAGCGCACTTTTCACCTGGTTTTCGAGGTCAGTCAGATTTGACAAAACGGTCTGAAACTGTCTGAAACGGCTGCAGTGAAACACATAAACATGAGTGCTCTACACGGTTCATAAGACTGTGACATGTAACTGGCCCAACATCTGATCACAACACCTGAGGGAAAAAGGAAAACACATGAAACATGAAACAAATTGTACATTTGACAAATCTAACGATTGCGAACCAATGTAATGACTGATGGAGAGCTACAACTATGGCAAACAACAGCACTGTCAGAGCCATGCACGCCACCAGCAGCCCATCGATCTTGTGGCTGGTGGATCTCAAATCCCGGTCTTGTTGGGGCGCAACTCTTGTAGCCATCTGACATCATCTGACATTTGCAGGCTCAAAAGGAATACAGCTCGACTCTTGCTTGAACCTAAAGCAAAGCTGAAAAGGCTTGCTTGGGAGAGATGGACCGCAGCACTCGGCTGATTGACGATTTGCGACAGCATGCCACTGAGAGTTCAACCAGCATACTTAATCCGCGTGGTATGATTGGCATGGTGCTTGGGACAAAAAATGCGAACTCTGAATGATCCAACAGCACTTTAACATTCCTCAACCAGCCTCATGCCGTTCCCACCACCGTTCCCACCCTCTACCCGGCAATTTTTCCTCAACCAGAATTTGGTCTCTGCAGAGATTGAGCTCTGGCAATGCCAGGGGTTGCGATCTGTATTGAACATGGAACATGATGGAACCCTAGAAATTACATCTTGACTAGCATGGAATATCAGTGGCAGAAACAGGAATCCACAGCAACCCCTGGCAACGCTTAAATTTAACACACTTGAGAGCGCACCTTTCCTGTATCGTTATCAACTCAATCAAGCCGCCGCCAGCTTCCAACCCTTAACAAGTTATGTGGCTAGAACTGCATATGTTTTGCGTGCCAGGTGTGCTGCACGATGATCTCTACTACATCCCCAGGACACTTGCATGGCATGTGTGCACCCTGCTTTTTGCAAACTCGTTCTGCCCCGAATCCCAGTTGACCAAGCAGGATCGCCCAGTAGTATTAGACCAGTGTACCAGTGAAGGGTCAACAATCTTGAAAGGGGAGCGTAGCTTGCCAGAGTATTCCACCAATCCAGAGCATTCCACCAATCAATTCTCGAACTCTTAGCCACACAGGCCAGCAGCACAACTACCATGTGTGTGTCCTGTGAACTTCTGAACCTCATACGCTAGCAAGCAAGGAAGCAAGAGCGACACCAGGAATGAGCGGCCTCCCAAGAAGTCCAAGCAACAATGTTCCATGTCCATATTCCTGACTAGGTCTATGGAATGCAGTTGCAGTTGGTCTACTAGTTTACTGCAAAATCATGAGGGGTGTGCTGTTGGACTCAAACTTGTAATGAGACGACTTGTGTCAACTGATTGAAGCTTAAACTTTAGATTAGGTTGGAGGCCATCGCTATTAGGTTGGAGGCCCTTGCTTCTAGGTCAGAGGCCATCGCTTAAACTTTAGGATTTGCCCAAATCCTGGGAATCAGGTCTTATCAGGTGATTCACTACACTAGACGATTCCAAATCGTCACTCCGACCACGCCTCAGGCACTCAGTCATCATCATCTGCCTCCGACCACGCCCGCTCACCACTCCGAAGCTGCTTGGCGCGCTCTTCATCCTCTTTAGCCTCTTAACGAGGCTCACGGGCGTGCTAGTCTGCAGCTTGATGACGCAAGTCTCGTGTTTCTTCAGTTTCTTCGCGTATCTGTTTTGGCACGCGGTGCCTCAAACGACTAGAACGCGGTACCTAACCGTACTATCTCTAGTTGTTTTGCTCAGGACGCATGGAAAGGGTCAAATACCATCCTGAAGGAGTCAGGGGCTTAAACACCATCCTTGGAATGCCTAGATATGCCTGACACACTCTGATTAGATCATGGCCAAGGCCAGACCTGCATGAAGGAGTGAAACTTGTGTTCTGGACAGTGCGAACCGCTACGGTTACGGGGAGGGGTTCATGGAGTGACAGCTCGTCCCTTTCACAACAAGGGACAACGCACAACAGGGAGGAGTTCATGGAGGATTTCAGTGAGACATAAACGGAATAAAGTGTATATCGGTCACAACTGGGCACCTATACAGGACAGGCAGGACATGTCAGGACCTAGGTCGGACGGAAAGAAACAAATGGAACAACAAAAACAGGTATGCCTATCGTCTTCAAGTTCAGTGGCAAACATAGATGCACACGTTGAGGCCACTGAGAAAGTTTTTGTGAGTATTCCCCAAACATTGCAGGGACTTCCTAACCGACTCCTGTGGCAGAAGGGAGGAAGAGATGTCCCAAAACAACTTTAAAAAACAAAGACCTCGGATGGCCTCGGCATCCTCTTCTGTTTTGTCCTTCTTCTCCTCCTCCTCTTTGTCTTTGTCTTTGTCATCTTTTTGCTCGGCTTCCGCGCTCCAGTTGATGTGGCAAACCACTGATGTCGCTCCTACGATCCGAGGCCTCATCTGCAGCTCCACAGCAACAAGGACCCTTTTGTACTGTAAATTGGCTACCAGTAACAAGTGCACCGCTACTAGTAACAAGGCCATTACTACTAGTGACTAGTGGCAAGAAGCTACTAGTCGCGATGCCCTTGTTACTACTGCTACACTTTCACCATATTCCGCGATGCTGTGAGATCCCAGTATCGTCAGCATTGAAAGTCCAAAAGCACAGCAACACAAACCTTGAATACATAACACTATATATCCAAACCCAATCAGAAAATTGAATAGTTGGGAAGAAGACGTCCACCCGTATCAATGAAGCTTTGCAAACAACGGTAATCGCTAGGCTGTTCACACTCTACCTGCCCGTACATATCATAATTGCTGATGGCAGGAAAGGGCTTCATTCAAAGTTGATCCAAGTGAGCTAAGTGTCTCATCTTTGGCCGCGAAACGCTCTAATCTCTTCTGCCGCCGCTCGGAGTCTTCCTCCACGGAGGGGGTCTCCAGGGCTTCTTTCTTATAGCCGTACTTCCCCTGGTCGTTCTTCCACCTAAGTAGTAGTAACAAGTGCCACGCTAGTAGGAACAAGTGCCTTACTAGTAGTAACAAGAAGCTATTAGCATAATAAAGAGTTGTCACACACATGACCCAAGCAAGAATTAGGACGCCGAAGGTACTCCGAATATCTCAAACAACTATATTCTATTGAATTCTTGTTTCTAATAGCTTCTTGTTACTAGTATAGTATGGCCAGGAGCCCCTAGTAGCATCTTTGCTCATAGTAGCGATGCCAGGAGCCCTAGTAGCTTCTTGTTCCCCTGCGTATGCTAGCAACACAGCACAGCACACTTTGCAGAAAAAAACAGTCGTTCAAATCAGTGCCCTTTGCAAATGCCTGCCGTCTAGGTGCAGCCCCTGGAGCGAAAAAACATAATACAATGAATGAACACACACCAAGCACTGAAAAGCAATGATTTATACACATTACAATCACACGCAGGCTCAAGCAGCTAAAGGGCCAATTGGAATTTGAAGACTTCCATCCGGACCCTGACCAATTGGAATTGGAGGAGTTCCACCAGTTCTCTGACTTCTTCCAATTGGAGCCCCACTTGCTCCATTGATCAGACTTCTGCTCCCCATCCTGCGCCAGTGCGTCACTGAAACCGACTGAGTCTGACAGTCTGACAGGGGGCCGGAGCGAATCTCGAGAAAAAAGGAGACCGCAAAATGAAGCAAAGAGAAACTGAAGTCCACCAGTCGCTAAGCGAAAGAACATGCATCTGAGCGATTCGATCTGGACCTCATCATCCGACCCCATATCAAAGGCAATTCTCGCATCGGAGTCCTTTCCAGAGTCCTTTTCATCCTCCTTCTCATCCTTTGAGTCCTTTGCATCCTTTGTATCCTTGGCACCCTTCGGCTTTGGAACAGGGTCTTCATCATCTGACCATGCCCTAAGCCCTTTGTGCTCCTTAGCTCAACTGACAACACCAACACAAGTGTCCTCTAATTTCCCAGCTCCCTTTCCTGTCGATCATTTCCAAAGGCAAAATGTAATGTATATAATTGGCAGCAAGTCGGTCAGGTTTGAACCGCTCTGCCTCCTCCGACAATACAAGCTACGCGCAGGAAAGCTTCCTTGGATTCTTCTTTATCCTTGGCCTCCCATTTGGACCATTGGTTCCCCCACTGGCCATAGCCCCTGCCATAGCCTTAGGGCGGAAAACAGATCGAAAAGTGCGACCTGCGGGATGACTAGAGCTTTCCTTGTTACTAGTCGCGTCCTTGCTCCTAGTAGTAACGGCCTCCAACCTATTTGCGATGGCCTCCACCTAATGGCTTCCTTGTTACTAGCAACTAGTCCCCTGAGATCCCCTGAGTATGAATCTGTGTTATTTTTTTTGTGTCGTTCCCGACGCGGAGGCGGCCGGGGGCGGCGCGAAAACCCAAAAATTCGAAAAGTTGAAGTGTTTCTTGTGTGCAGGTGGGCCGGGACAAAGCGAAAACGCGAAAATTCGACAAATGTTTTGCGGCCGTCAGTTCGCAAGTGACGCGCGCAAAAGCGAAAACGCGAAAATTCGAAAAGCGCGAAAAACGTTTCGGGGACACCAGACGCGCGAAAAGGCGAAAACGCGAAAAATCGAAAAGTGCGAAAAGTGTTTCCTGCCTGTAAAACGATTGCTTAGTATGAATAGGTTGCATGCACCACAGCAGGCATCCTATTACCACTTGAGTGACCAACTGAAATCCACAATGGAACAACAATAAATGAAATGATAGGAATGTTAGGCATCCTTCCCTGGATGTTTCGGCATGTTTGGGCCCTGAGTCCAACCCGTCTGAGAGATGACAAGTTACCCCAATTACCTTTACCAGCACCCTTCTTCTTCCACTCTCCTGGATGCTCCAGTGGGTGCTCCGTGGCTCTTGAGTTTGCCATTCCGATTTTGACAGCTTAGAATAGGCAAAACAAGGACCTTCGAGGAACGAAACGCCGCGGAGTTCATTTGCATGCCAGCAGAATACAAGTCGCAAACAAAGCAGCGCACACCTAGAAACGGTCTTAGGCGGCTTGAGTGGCGATAGCTTCAAAATTGTGGGCTCCAAGAGCCGTACGACGGGTTGCGAACGGTCAGGTGCGGAAACCATTTTTCTGGCGAACCAAGGAAACGAGCACTTTTTGGAGTTTCGTAGCGTTTTTTGATGAAACGAGCGCTTTTTAATGTGTTTGATGAAACGAGCATTTTTCAAGATGTTGAACACTGAAGTCTTCTTGGGCCAAAGCTGGAAACCCGCAAAATGCGCGCAAAATGCCGCAAAACAGGCGCAAATTGCCGCAAAACGAGCGCAAATTGAAAAGCGGCGAACCACCCCAACATGGGTTGGATATAGAGGGATCCATGTGCGTTTTTGAGTGTTTGTAGCGCTTTTTGCTTGAACGAACACTTTTGCAAAACGAGCGCTTTTTTTGTAGCGAAGGAAACTTCAGGTTAGATCGCTCCTAGGTTGGAGGCCATCGCTATTAGGGTGGGAGGCCATCGCTGGGCCATCGCTATTAGAAACAAAGACAAAAGAAAAGGAGGAAATGTCTGATATAGTTTGCTATTAGGTTGGAGGCCATCGCCGATAGACAAAGACCTTGAGACTTAGGTCCACTGCGCCCTGCGAGCCCCACCGCCCACCAAGCACGCCGCGATGGCCTGTGGTAGCATTTGTGGCATTGGGGTCGGTCTTCAGCCTAGGAGCTTGCAACAACGAAGAGAATGCACGAATGGATCGTGCAAAACACACCGGCAATCGGTTTATATGGTTTCACATTAATTACGATCTTTTGGGCCGGTTTGGAGTCAAGCAGCAAGTGAGAGGAACGAAAAAACATCAGCATGCTTGGCCATGGCTATTAGGTTCAGAGGCCATCCCAGGAACAAGAAGCTACTAGTAGCTCCTGGCATTACTATTAGTAGCAAGAAGCTACTAGTAACAAGGGCATTTCTATTAGGTTATTGTTTCTACTAGCGAACATTGTTACTACTAGTAAGGCACTTGTTACTACTAGCGATGCACTTGTTACTACTAGGAACAAGAAGCTACTAGGTTGGAGGCCATTTCTGGTTGAGGACCGAGAGTCGGATCCCGTTTTTCCTTCCAGCCGGCATCTTTCCGGCCATCGCCCTTCTCCTTCCAGTCGCCCTTCTCGTTTTCGGTTCCTAGAGACTACTCGGATCGGTATAGCAGTAGCTACAAGCTACTAGTAACAAGGGCATCGCTACTTAGTAACAAGGGCATCCATTACTACTAATAACTAACTAGTAGTCCTCACCCTTATTTCATTAAGTAGGCGCCTACTTGATTAAGTAAGAGCCAATACTTTTTAACAAACTACTAGGTCTACTAGGTAACCTGCTACCAGCTAGGACGCAAATAGCGCATGCTTCTTGAAGGAAGCAGGGGGAGCTTCCTTGAAGAAGCGCTCACACTATTCATTTGGTTTCTAGATTCATTTAGCACCTCTCAGCATATCATATCTCTCAGCATACACTACCAGCCAATTGTCTCAAGAAAAGCGGCTATGGCTACTGGTAGTGTTATCTAAGAATCAATTCAATCATTGACAAAAATCATCACGAAACATCAAACAACATCCCCTCCTGTATCTCTGGGCTTCTGATTCTTGGCCACAGCCGCTAGGGCTCCAAGGAAGCTTCTTGCCTGTGGCTGCTTCACACCATTCTCCTGCCAGCTGCTAAACCGACCACTTGTGAGTTAGGCTTTGGACGAGAAACAATGGCATTGACATGCTCAATGCTACATGTTGAAGGACATAAAGGAATTGATTCAACCTGCATGGCCTTCTTCTTGGGTGAGATCTGGTCGCTCGCCATCTTGTTCGAGAAGAAGGACCGGGATCGCGACCGCTCGGGCGAGAAGCGCGACGGCGAGCGCCGCTGGGGTGAGCGCCGCTTCCCCACGGAGCGTGGCGTCGCTCGCTTCGCCGAGGCGTTGCGTCGCTTCGGCTCGCGCGAGCGGCGTTCACGCGACGGTGAGCGGCGGGAGCGCTTGGCTGGCGACGCCTTCCTCCTCGGCCGGGGTTGTTTGTCGTTGGAGTCCTTTTGCTCAAAAGAAAGTCAGTATGAGAAAAACAACGATCTTATGTCCCTTTGCTGAATCGTCCGTTCACCTACCCGACACCCTCCAGTACTTTCAACGTAGGCCTACCATCACTGCAACTTGGGGAAAGCATGGCTGCGCCAGTGTCGGGTCTACCGGATAAACCAAAGACTCCAAAACTCCCTGTAGAAACGATTTGGTCGAAACCATTTTTTGGCATTGGCTCATTTCGGTCCCAAGCATCTTCTCAGGTGTGCGCCTCTTTGGCGATTCCTTTCGCCGCTTTGGCGATGTCTTCTCAGGTGATCTCTTTCGGGAAGCCTGGCGTGCCTTGGTTTTGGGCCTCGGAGATGATCGTGCCTCAGACCTCTTGGGCTTTGGCTTCTCCGAAGCCTTCACCGTTTTGGCCTCCTTGGAAGCCCTCGCATCTCTGTCCTTGGAATCTACAGCATGCTGGACAAAATAGACAAATTAACTATAACCAGAAAGAAAGGTCAGGATGCTAATTTTGAAACAAAGTTCAACAAAATAAACAAAAATGCATTTCTTCCATACATCTCTTGCATCCTTGGTGTCCTTGGTGTCTTTGGTGTCCTTAGCCTTCGCTGGGCGCTTGGGCGAAGCCTTCTTCGCACGCTTCTTGGGCGCTGGACTTTTGGAGCTGGACTCCGAGCTGCTGGAGCTACTGCTGGAGCTTTTGCGCGGAGGCACCATAGCAAACGCAGCTCGAGCACCAGAGGCAGCGTGATAAGAAAACAAGCAAACGACTATAGTCTATGAGTCCAGGTCTGTCTACAGCAAGCTATGGCATGCTGATTCTCACACACGATACAAAAGTACATGAGTAATCCTGTCTTACTTGTTAGGTCTTGTAAGGATACGGTTTCTTGCGATTCAGTTTGTGAAGTGCTGAAGACCCCCGGCCTATGCAGACCCAAGCATCTTTCTTTAGGCCCTGCAAGGCGCAGCAAAGTAGCACTGCATGATCCTGGCACAGCTAAGGGCAAAACAAACGGTTTCAACAAGACATGACAAGTATCATGAGAGCACCCGCTCAGTATAGTCACGTCTCTAAGTTGGCTGGCCATGTGCATCCATGTGCCTTTCATTTGTTTGACATATTGTTTAATGCGATCGAGTCGAGGGTAGTAGCACTGGTAGTGACGGCTATGAAGTCTCGGCAGCTTAGATCCGAAAGTCTCCTGCACTGAGCCACGCCGCAACGCCAACATCTCGGAGCTGAAAGACATGTGCATAGCAAAAGAAGCTATTAGATTGGAGGCCATCGCGACCTTCACCTTCAGCCTAATGATTAATTCTTTTCCCATAAGGCGCCGGCGTCGTTGGGCGTCTGCCACTCATTGATTTGGCCGCAAGCCCTGGCAAGCAGTCAAAAGCACACCAAATGTTTCAGCGGGCATGTGGAGAGCCAAAGTCAGGGTTCCACGAAACCATTGGCCAGCCTATTGTGAAAACGAGATTCCAAGGCAGCGACCACGATGCAAATACATGCGCATGTTGTCTCCGCTTTTCTTAAGATATTTTGGTTGGTCACTCATGTCTCATGCCTTTGTCGTGCTGGAGCGCTAAACTCGACACACCTGGGGCCGGCCCGGGTCTCCGTTTCTCCGGAACACTTGTGCTGATTCAGTGCAGAGACAAGACAGGTGCTGCACCTGAACAATGACATTTGCACATTCGATTGTGTTAATGATGCCGCATCGGCATCGATGCCCATAGCCTATGTTGTCTGTGTGGCTCATGAGTTGCTTCAAAATCGCCAAATCGAGGCTGAGAGATTCGCTTTATCCAGTGCATGATGCTCAGCGGCGATCCCTGCACAAATCAAAGCAATAACGAGGGTAAAACGAGGTCTCGCTGGCAGTGAGTCTGACAGCCTTACTCTTAGCGCCCATGCACCCGTCGGGGGGAAGAAATGATCACCGATGCCATGCCAAGCCAAGTTCTTCTTGGTGGACAAGCAAAGCCTTTCATGAGGTCCACCTAGCTTCTCCACTAAGTGTTCTTCATCCTAGTAGGTTGGCATGTCTAAACATTAAAAAAGGTGCCGTTTCGCGACTGATGCTAGGCTCATGTCTTGCCAACGAACATTGATATCACACAACCACCCCAAGCATGGAGGAAGCATAAGCAGGCATACCCAAGCATCAGAATCTTCCAGTCGCTTGACAGGACCCAGTTTCCAAACAGGAAGAAATACATCTCAAATACACGTCACTATATGTCTTAGTATGTCTGGGCCCCCTTCCATTCCCATATCTCTGAGCTTTGGGCAAGCTCGGCAGGTAATGCCAGGGGCGTGATGAGCCGTGGCAACGGTAGGGTCTTTCCGCTCCTCGCACATCAGAACTCGAAGCACTGAGCCACACCGGGATCTAAGGGGTACGTATATGGGCTCTATTTATTATATATTATATAATACTATATATATATAATCAACATTTGTCACCACATTCTGACCAATCGAGATCGTATGTCTCTCTATTCCGGTGTGAACATATTTGCAGCACCTTACGGTGCCTGCACGCACTGGGCGCGACTGGACGGCCACAGGCTCTCTGAGCTTCCCAGCTTGTCATTGAAGCTGCACAGCCATCGTCGTTTCGCTGGTGAGTCGGGGAACCAAACCTCGTAGGCCTGCGCAAAAGCCGCGAGTTCAGTGGTCGGCAGCCTTGACGAGTCTGACGAATTCTGCAAGCGATTTAGGTTCGCACCATGTCATTGGGTTTGCTTTTGCAGCACTAAAATAACAATGATCATTTGATTGCTCTGATTGCCCGGCCTCATTCAACTCTTTGAAGATATTGTTCCAACCTCTAGTGACTCTAGTGACTCCAGTGTGAGATTCACTGCGGTCTGTGACTGCCACCAGGCAAACCAAGCTCAACAAGAAACACCAACAAGTTGTAGCATTGTAGCCAGTTGTGATTCTTTCAACTTGTGCTTTGTTTGCACAACTCAGGATTCCCATCCACACAAAGGTCTGCACTCACTCACTCTCTCTCTCTCTCTCTTTCTCTCTCTCTCTCTCTCCACTTCCATCAGATCCTGGATCTGACAGGTCCTGACGTGTGTAGGCCGGAGCCTGGGATGGAACAAAAAGCAAACATCAATAGTTCCCGAATAGGCTGGTCACTCACCACACGACTGAATCCTCAAGGTTCATGGAACTGAGGGTTTGCCAAGTCCTACGCGTGGCGACCTGTTCTTTCGTGCTGTTCACCGAATCCTGTCATCCAAACGTGAAAGCGTGGAGCGCCTCATGTAAACATGTTGTCTCTAAGTCTCTAAATGCATGGCAGTGCTTGCCTACCCCTTGCAGTCATTGCTTAGCCAAGCACCTCAGCATCGGAGATCTGAGTCCAACACAAAGGTTTGAGCGCTGGCAATCTCTTTGTCGTCTTGCTCCGGAAACTTAAAGTCCTGACAAGGAAAACGGCGCCATGCGGCCAAATCCTCTGAACAGGAGAACTCTTCTACACCTTGAAGGTCCAAAACTTTAGCAAAACCCATGCTCAATTTGCTGGGTCTTGCGTGCAGCTGCTAAAGAATGAAACCACATCTATGCAATCGTGATCTATGACATGCAGGAACCAGGCCCCCCAACAGGCTTGAAGTCTGGTAGAAAGTAGCACTCGAAGCCTGAGTGTGACAAAAAAAAATTGAGAGGCAGAGAGGTGCCAGCATTGCACTGTGGCATCACAAGCTGTGCAATCTAAGGCCCAGCTAATAGTTGGTGTTGCTTGGGTAGTCAAGGAAGATCCCGAGATCTTCTCCCGTTTGCCCTCATACCTCAGGTACAGCTCAGGCAACCACCACCGGATGCGGCATGATCTAGTAGCGTCCTATGCAAGTCCTTGTTCCTAGTAGCGATGCCCTTTGCTCCTAGTAGCGATGCCAGGAGCCCCTAGTAGCTTCTTGATGCATGTCACAATATGGAATGCTGACAGACTTGGAACAAATGCCTCCAATGTCGCAATGAATCAATGCTTGGTCCCTATGATGGCATGATGTTTAGGAACCTCTCAGCTGTACACTCTACAGCTTCCCCCGAACAAACTTATATAGATTTGCTCCAAAGTTTGGGCAAATGCTTGAGCTGGATGGTTCTTCATCAATCGATTTGTGGCACATCTCCAAGCCACAGGTAGGTGCTGTGAACTTTGGCCAACGCCGGGTCAATGCCAACGGTTGCCTCAAGAAGGACATGGCGGCACAAAATGTTCTGAAGTCTGAACATCTCTGGATGATAGATCCACCAAATGCTGCCCTTTCCAACGCAACCCGTACACAGGGCATGTAGGAAACAGATTGAAAAAATGGTAGACTCTTAGACGAGCTAAGGAGTACGTCTTCCTTCCGATCTTGGAAATCTTGGAACGTGAGGTAGACCGACAGGACCCTGGCTGAACTGTGCCAAGTCACGTCCCCCGTGTCTTCTTTCTTTTGATCTTCATCTGCCTCGTTGGAATCAGCCACCTTCCTGGAGACTTCGTGAGTGACCAAGCTGCAAAAATCGCAAGTGAACAACCCTGCCACAACGATGTGACCACTGTGATCTTTTGTGAGTTTGCAATGCTAGAACAGCGCAACAAAGAAACAAGAGGAACAGCACAACATTGTCCACTTGCATCGTGACTTTGTGCCCTTCACAGTGCCTCGTTTTGGTTGCGGCATTGCAAATGGCTCGATCAATTTGCTGACCATAACGGACCTAGCCGAAGAGGCCGGAGTCACCCCGACTGAAGGCAAATGGGTGGATCAAAAACCTGTCCAAAGGCGGGCCCTTTCCACAAGTCAGCTTCATTTAATTTGAACATTCTGAAATCAACTTTGAGATGGTGATGTCATGTGATGCCTGGTGCTTATCAAACCTTTGAGCGGCTTAGTGCAAATCTGCCGCCTTGACAAGGTCCAGTTTGTAGGAGCCAAGGAACTCGGTGGGAACCTCAGCAGAATACATATGCAACGGCCTCGCATATGCCGCATGAATCATACTGACGACATGCAACCAGCGGCATGAAAACTTGGAGAGTTAGATCAAGCAATGCCGAGAGGCCCCATCCCAATGCCAAATCTCCAGTTCCTCGCGACTCATATGGCTCATGCGATCCCAATGCATAACGCACACAAAACACAAACAAAGAGCATGTGGCCAACAATGAAAAGCAGTTTGCCAAGTAGCAACTACTGATAAGTAGTGATATATATATATATATATAAGTAGTGATGTAAAACATCTTGGGGCCAGTCCGACAGTTTTGTGACTGAAGGGTGGGAGCTTTGGAGTTTCCACACATGGAAAACCTCGTGTACCAGGGAGGCTACTAGGAGCAAAGGATGCTACTAGGGGCTCCTGGCCTTACTACTAGAAGCAAGAACGCTACTAGGAGCTTTTTCATGTGTGTATGATAATGTCAAATGCACCAAGGCCGGCCGTGGGCACTCTTTACATCAGGCACAAGAACGGTTCAGGACAACGTCTCTCTCTCTCTCTCTGTCTGTAACTGTAGCTCTGAGATCTGAAGCCATCACCATCCGAGCATCCAGGAAGCCCTTCGATCTCATCTCTTCCGCAAAGACATTCTTCTTGTAGGCAGGGTCTTTGTAAATGCAGGGGTCGGTGAAGCGCACCGGCAAATAGAAGATATGATCTCGGCGCAAGGCGCGGACCGGGACCCCGGCAAGGATACTGGCAAAGGGGCCGAGGC